GCACCGTTTAGTATTAATTTAATTTATATTGTTATGGCATGTCTGCCAGCAAGACTCAGCAAAATGTTAGAAGTAAAATTCAATGCTGAAACAAAATATGTTCTTTGAAAATCTCAGTGTTTTTGTCTTCCCTTCCATTGATGTAGTTTTCCAATTTAATTTCCTGTTTAGTTAGGGGGCTTTTCTCCACACCTGTTGCGGAGACCAATTAAATTGAGACTTCAGAAACACAGGGAGATTTTTAACTGGGTTTAATCCATCTTCTGCTTGAACCCAATTCAAAGTCTGATTAGTTTTTCTTAACTATAAACCAGTGATTACTCTCATCTATTTTCCTGGGCAAATTGGAGTGTCCGGTTTGCTGGAAAGTGAATCTCCCTGCCCCTGTCCTTTTTCTCTCTGTCCTTACTTGAGATTTTCCTCTTCCCTCTTTTCCCGTTGCTTTTTCACATCTTAGTCCCCTTGCCCCGATCTGTCTGTGTTCCCAGTAGTGTTTCCTATATTGGTTCAGTTCAGTACTTCAGCTGTAGTCCACAGCTGTTAGGAGGAAAAGCAGAACAAATAGTGATCGTTACTGACAGCAAATGCGAGAGTACTTAAAAAAAACCCAGATTATTAAAACAAAGTAGTATTTGGGGCTTATGGAGATGGTGGTCAAGCAGGACCCTAGACACAATGATTGATTGTCATTGGTTTTAGTGTGGAAAACAGTGCAGTGAGGGGTCCGTTTCAACCTCTGGTTTTAAAATGTGCAGGACCATCACGCTTTTAAAAAAGTGGTGAAGTTTTTGTAGCACAGATCTGCCAGACTTCCCATTTAAGAGAGCTGGAGAATCCCCCTCCACCACTGCCATCTTTCTCATTTCTGGATTAATGAATTCTGTTCTGAATACCACCAAGGCTGTGTTGGGACAGTTGTTCACAAAACCCAGAACAACCAGTAGGACGTTTACCAGGTCAAAAGAAGGTTTGTGTATTTAAAGTGGCCCTTTTGGGTGGGTGGATGGGGGGAGTGGAATAAGGGGGACTTGCTGTTCTTGCGTTGATCTCCAGGCTTTGGGATATCTATATGACTATTAATCCCTGATAATCTGTCCTTCTGCTTGCATTCCAGTCCAGATTTGTTTGTAATACTCAGGATAAAGTTGCTGAGTGCTGCAGAAAGATCACAGACATGAGAATTGGTTTCACAGTGATAGTGGTTCCCTCTTCAGCACTCAGTCAGTGTGTTTCATACCCTGTGCTGTAAGTAACAAAAGTTGTGTGACAGGAACCAGAAGGAGAATCAGGCTGCCAGGTGAGATCATGCAGACAGACTCATATGCACATTGCTCTGGGTTAACATCATCTGGCGTCTGGAGCAGATTGTCAGAAAGGATGCCCCAACATACTTGAGGTGAGCTTCCTCTGAGGCGTGCGTGGTGGTTCTGAGACGTTACTGGTTTTGTATGTGTGTTTTTTAGTGCTCTTCTAGGAGTATGTGAGACCTCTGCCAGGTGATTATGTAGTAAGAACTCATCGAACAGCTCTGATGATGCAGAAGGAGAAAAAAGTTTCTAGTTCACTCTTCTGTTGCCAATGTTGGCTATATAGGAGGGAGAAGTGAGGGAGGAATGGTTTTTACCACGGTGTGTAAGGGAATACACCAAGGAGGCATGCTAAGGCAGCATGAAGAAGATTTTTATAACTGAAGTCGGAGATTTGTTTGTATTTGGGTCTGAAGTCTGTATTTCTTCTGTTGGATAGCACAGAAGTTGGATACTGTTTTACTACTCGTAGCATTATGGAATTAATTGCCTTCAGAAACAGGTAGTTGGGCTTATTTATCTGTGAAATGTGTTACTGGCTGCCCCTCCAAGTTGCTTTCCAGTTGTTTATTGCAAGCTGACGGGAGAAAGTAGTGTGCTATCAGCATGTAGCTGATCCTCTTGATTTTTTGTTTTGGTTTTGCTTTTCCTAAAATGTGTATAGCTGTTCTGAACCTCATAGACATCCTTATTCTGTAGGTCAGGTGGATGTTAGGTGTTGCTCTGCAGCTGGTGTTTTCTTTCCTGTTCTGACAATAGAGCTAATGGATATCAGCAGAAGGAAAACTAGTTCTGTTCATTCTCAGGTTTCCTTTGGAGAGTAGTAGAGACCCATGCTGTCAATACCTTACAGGCTATTCTGATGATTTCCCCTGTGGAAAATCAGGAGAAAGGGTGTAAATGAGAACACTTTTTCTGTGTCTTTTAAAGCAGTAAGGCAGATTCCCAGGTGGTCTTCAGTGGAATTTACTTAAGAACAGAAAGAATTCATTGGAAAATGGAGTCTCAAGGGTCAGGAGACAAGGAGACGAGAACTAAGAGGAACTCGGGCTTCCCTTCTTGTTTCAGTGATTCTGTCCTTGTGTTCTTGAAGACCAGATGGGGGGAAAAAAAAACCAGCAAAACCTCCCAAAAAACTGGTTGTTTTTGTGGATACGGCTGCATGGCTCTTTTTTTTTCTTTTTTACCTCCTTTTTTTTCTTCCCCTTGAGAACCTCTCCTTCTCCTCTCTCTTTTTTCTGTTTCTTTACTTTTTCTCCCCCCTTTCCTTGTAAATAATGTCCTCTTCTCTGGTGTACCTTGCCTTTTTGTTTTTTTTCTCCTCTCTTCTGTGTTTCTGGTTCATGTGAATGAGGAGTTCCTTCACTGTTAGTGGTAAGGTCAGTGAAAACTCTTCTGTCCCTTCCTTGGAGCAGCACGGTGGGGTGCATGTGGCTCACCGCTCTGTGCAGTGCCTGCCAGGAGGGACAGCAGCTGGTCATTCCCAGCAAACCCCGAGAACCTTGGGCAGTGCATTGAGTAGCTCATCTTGTCAGTCGTGGCTCTGGCTCCCACGTACCTCCCTGTGAATCAGCAAACTTCGAGAAGACACCTGGGCTAAACTAGTGGGTGTGTGGAGTTGCTGTATTCCTTCTGCCTGTGATGTCTCTCCAGGGTCTCGTGTATATTTTGAAAGCTGGTATAAAATAACCTGCCATGTTTCTGTGTTTCTTCTCTTTGATCCAGCCTGTTTCGTGTGCGTTGTCTTTAATCACTCCCTTTGCTTCGCTTAGCCTCAGACCTTGTCCTTCTCACAGGTGGTAATTTCCTTGTGCGTTTTCCATATCAAAGCTCTATTTTATTAAAATTTCATTCTTTCTCTGCTATGAGATAATAACAGCCAAAAGTATTAGCATGATAACTTTATAGTATGATGGCAGTGAAAGGCTGGACGAAAATGGAGCTCTCAAAAGAAGGCAGGAAACAGAACAAAGGATTGGATCCTCACAGACCTAACACTGAAAAACTGAACTTTTCCCTTGAAAAGCAGGAAAATTTGCCTCCTGCAGCAGCATGTGAGAGGGGAGTGCTGGGCAAAGACCCACAAGGTGGTACTGGAAGGCAGCAGATACGGAGGACTAATTTTTGATGCCAGTCAAGTATTGTGGGGTTCACACTGTGCAGAGCAACGTGGCATCAGTACTACTCTTTCAGAAGAAAATAGTTTAATTCTGCAGAGATTCATGTGGTTTTCATTTTGGTGAAGGGAGCCAACTTTACTCATAGGCAGCAGAATCCCTTGCCTTGCAGCTGTTGTTAATTTCGGTAGGGGTAGGAGTAGTAAAGCCTGTGCACTGCCAGGCACTGTACACAGACATAACGCGGGGTAGTGGTTGTACTTTCTGGGGAGGAGAAGATTTAAAAAAAGACTGGGAGTGGTAAACAAAGCAGGAAAGTGATTTGCCTAAAATCATGAGCTGGTTTGTGGCTGAGCTAGGACCAAAGTTCAGTGACTTAGTTTCTGACCAGTAGTTCATACTTACTGCTTCTTTCTTGTTTAGTCATAAGCTCTTTTTCATGAAGTCTGTGACAGTACAGCAGTGGAGGGTGGTAGAAACTAACTCTCTTTTTTTTGTGTGTGTGTGTCCAGGTTAAGTCATATTTTGTGACATTCGAAGAGCAAACAGCACCGTGACTCCATGAATTGTGAAACCACAGGAAGAGTGGCAGCCCTCCCTACCTCCAGCTTTCCTTCCTTACTGTGACGTTCTTCTCAGGACTTCTGGTTTCATCCCCACCGAGTGCACAGTGGCCTGCCTCAGCGTCAGAGCAGAGGAAGCAGTTTGTGTGTCAGAGAGCTATGGCCTTGAGCTTGTATGGCTTTCACCTCTTCTCCAAGTTCAAAGTGTTGGTGCTTGTCACCTTGTGTTTGATGGTGCTATGGGCCACCTTCAGTTACTTTGTGGACTCCAGACAGGAAATTTCTAAAGCTAAGAACATGGAGGATTTCAGAAAGGTAGCTAGCCTGGAGGACAGACAAAAGGAAGAGAAGACGGAGTCAATTGTGAAAGTTCCCACAGTGAAGTCATTTCAGGGTCCCTGCCCAGCTCTGTCTCCATACCTGCGTAAGTAATGGTGCTTTCCTCTCCTTTCTGACAAGTTGCATCTGCTTTGATACTGCTGACTTGGTCTTCTCCCTAGCTGTTTTACAGTTAGGCACTTTTCTTGCGGAAAAAACACAACACAGCCAGTTGCAGTAAGCACTCCTGGGTGAGGAAGCAGCTCCTGGCACAGTAGCTGTGCTGGATCTGGTGGGGATAGCAGCCCGTGTGGTGCTGTGCTTTGCACTTGTGGCTAAACCAGCTTTGGTAGTGCGCTGCTGAACAGTGTTTGCATGCTGGTGAAGCTTTGGCTGTCTCTTCCCTGGCCCCCCAAAACCTGCTAGGCTGGGGGTGGGCAAGAGGCTGGGAGCAGACACAGCTGGGACAGCTGACCCCAATTGTCCAAGGGGATATTCCGTACCTTATTACCATGCCATTTATCATGGTCAGCAATAAAAGCTCAGGGAAAGGAGGAAGAGAGGGGTGTTCATAGTTATGGCGTTTGTCTTCCCAATAACCGCTATACGTGCTGAAGTCCTGCTTCCCAGGACGTGGCTGGACATCTGCCTGCTGATGGGAAGTGAGGAATGAATGTCTCTTTTTGCCTTGCTCGTGCGTGCAGCTTTTGCTTTTTGATTAAACCGTCTTTATCTCAACCACAAGTCTTTTTACCTTCCCTCAAATTTTTTGCCTTTTTGTTCTTAGATGTACTTTTGTCTCTGTGTTGACAGTTGAAGGACTTCACAGCTGTGTTGAGCTTAGCACTACTTGTGGTGAAGGTTCAAATAGGCGACTCTTCTCTTGGCTTGGCCATTTTTTAGTCTACTTTTTTTTGTCTTGGTATTGCTAGGAGCACCAGGCGTCTGCTTTGCAGTACCATGTCATTGTTGCCTTCCTCTTCCTTTTTGTGAACCTGATCAGGGATTTGTTTTGGAAGCTGGATTCTTCCCTCCTCCCTGACATAGTCCAAAAAGCTGCTGTCTAGGCACACCCCCACCCCTGCCCCCAGCACATATTTGCTTAAGTAAACACACTGTGGCTGCAGCCATCGTTCTTCCTTCATGGGTTTGCTGAGTTGGGAGGGACTGGAACGATAGCTCAGTGCAAGAGAAGTGGTGGAAACTTCATTTGGCTGCAGAGAGCCTTGGAGCATTTTATCTTACAAATTTGTAGCCTTCAGCCTTTGATCCTTTTGTTCATGCTTTAAGTAGAGATGACTTCTCACAGCCACAGTCCTACATCTCTTTCCACTTCTCTCTCCTCTGCTTTGTGCTGGCAGCTGTTTCTGACCAATCCTTCTGTAGTAGGGTGGAAGGTCTCTCGATTTTTCTTTTAAAATTTTTTTTAATCATCATTACTCTATAATTAGTTTAAGCAACTACATGCTCAATGCCCTCTCCTTCCACTGCCTCTATAGTGTCCCTGTAGCACCACTTTTCTCTTGGACTTCTTTTCTCTTGGAAAGGTGGGGAAACCAACTGGGGCTTGCACCTGGGTTTCTTATGCTGGTTACAGAGCACCTCATGAGGTGACTGCACTAGCCACAACCAGAAACAGCTCGGGAAAGCTTCTTGTGCTTCTCCTACAGGAGGTGCCAGCAAACTCACCTTCAAAGCATCTCTCACGCTAGAAGAAGTGCAAAAGGAGAACCCTCAGGTAGTCAAGGGCCGGTATCACCCTGCGGAGTGCTCAGCATTGCAGCACGTGGCCATCCTCATCCCACACCGCAACCGAGAGAAGCATCTGCTGTACCTCCTGGAACACCTCCACCCCTTCCTACAGAGGCAGCAGCTGGACTATGGCATCTACGTTATTCACCAGGTGAGGCAACTGTGCGGAGACGTGTTTGGGTGGGAATAGTGCCAGCGCTTTGCGGTCCGAGGCATGTTGCTGCCTCTGCTGTCCAACCTCAGTCCTCCAAGCCTGCTTCACACAGCTCCTTCAGCTCGTTGAGGGATGCCACGGGGCGTGCAGCCATTGCTGGTGGCAGTACAGGATCTCAGCTACTGTTGGCAAAGCTGGGAAGTATGAACAAGTAGTGTCTTTGACGGAGAAATAGACACCAGTTTAAGCTACTTACTACTTCTGAGTTGCTGTTCAACATCAGCATCTTCTGTGTTACCAACGTAACTCTCTTGGAGTTTACACATACGTAACTCGGCTGACGTGTTTTCTGTGTTCAAATTCGGAGTTGTTAGGATTGAAGGCCTCAGTTTGTATCTAGCTTTTCTCTTCCATCTCGCTGGCCATCATGCTGAGTAAACTGTGTGTATCGTGTGGCTGAACTCACTTCTGCAGTCTAAAACTAAACACACCAGCTACTTCTTGTAGGTGCTTTACCTGCCCAGCAAAGGCTGTGGGAAGAAGTAGTCATGGCAGAGCATTTGATTCCTGAAAAATTTATGAATTTATTTGCCTTCTTTCTAGCTCTGCTGAGTCAGCAGCTAAAATTTGAGCAGAGACTCTTGTGCCACTTTGTCTTTCATCTAAGGTGCTTATGTTCTGGTCACATGAGCTAAAAAAGTATAGATTTCTCTTTTGTAAGATATTGTCTTTTTATTGATCTTTTGGTGTGTTTGCTTTCTTTTACTATCGCTTACTTCATGTTCCGCTTTGACTCTAAATAGATTTTTCAGACAGCAGGAGAAAAAGGTGATAAATTAATATAGTTTCTGTTTAAAGAGGCTAAAGTCAATAAGCCACTGTGAGGCCGTGCATTCTAGGTGAAAGCTTAAGCTTCTGCTCAATGGCACAGCAGAACAGCAACAAAAGTCATGGCAGGCTGTATACTTCCAGTTGGAATAGACTGTTTTTTCCATTGTTTGGAGTCATTGTGTAGCCTGCAGAGTGGAAAAACCGAGGCTGTTTTCTGCATTGGTATGTGCTGTAATGGTGCATCTAACGGCTCGCTCCAGCTAGCAAGTAGTAGTTGGCAATAAATCACTGGGAGAACGGGCATATGTTCTTCACGTGTTGAAATACGTGAGGTGGAGAGCAGCTGTTGTCCTGTTAGCAAAAAGCAATACAGAATTATGGAAGTTTCTGTCTGATGGGAGAAGTGATGTCAAGTCTGGACTCGTTCCATCAGAGTTTTTACTTGGAGGATTGGAAGCTTTTGCTTAGCCTTTCCGTGTAGATAGGTATACCCAAGGGCTGGAAAGAGGGTCTAACAAAATTCTTTTATGGCAAATCCATTTTCACTTTCCATTTGTGATGTCATTAGTTGTTTTAAGTATCTTTTGAGGAAAGAAATAGTTAAAACTGGAATTCCACTGTTAAAATGCACAGAGTCTACTTTGGAGGAAGATTAAGAAACAGGCCTTTTGAAGTTTTGTGTGAGCCGTTGAAGGGCATACTCCAGCTCCCTTCTTCATGGGCTGCTTGTAACATCTTGAAAATCACGTTTCTCTGCACAAATGTCTGCATACATGAGTGCAGTGCTGGAAAAAAAAGTGAGTTTGTAATCCCTAAAGGGTGAGTAATTTCTTTCCCAATGTAAGATTGTCTTGTGGTCAGTGTTGTTCTTCCATAGAAACAGAGGGGACAATTCTCTCCTCGATAAAAAAGGAGATTATCTGAGAGACGTTTTCATATACAAAACACTTAAAAAAAAAAAAAAAACAAAAAAAACCCCAAAAACATACAAAAAAAACCCCAAACTCAGAAAACAAACCCACTAACCCTAAAATCCAAATCAAACACTCAAACTTTCGTCACCGTAGAGTTCTGAGTGAATTGTGTCTGAAATTTTCTTGGAAAATTTCTTCCCTGACAGAGAATGGAAGCAATTATTTATCCCTCTCTTAATTTCTCAGAGCAGGCACCGGGCTGCATTTCCCTAACTGCAGGTATGGGGCCATAAATCCCATAAATGTTCGTTGTGCGGGAGCAGATGGCTGTTGCTGTTTCAACAGACTGCTGCTTCAGAGCAAAGCGTCAGTTTTTTCGAATGATTAAAAAGCCTCTCTCAGTCCAGGCACCTTCTAGCAAATGACCTCTTTCTCTTGAAAATTTCTTTTTTTTTTTTTTAATTCTTTCGAGTACATCAGATTCCTTGCTCTGGAAAATGACTGTCCTGTTTCTGGGAGCACAGGGCTTGGCCCTCTGACTCCCAGGTGGGAACTTGAAGGAGCTCACCACCTTGTCCTCAGGAGCAGAAAGCCTTCTGCAGGCTGGCATGTGTCTACAGCCCAGTAAAAAATAAATAGCAGGATAAGCACACTGTTGTTCCAGGGTGAACAGGGACATGGAATACTGCATTCAGCTCTGGAGTCCCCAACACAAGAAGGACATGGAGCTGCTGGAGCGGGTCCAGAGGAGGCCGTGAAGATGATCCAAGGGCTGGAGCACCTCTGCTATGGAGACAGGCTGAGAGACTTGGGGCTGTTCAGCCTGGAGAAGAGAAGGCTCCAGGGTGATCTTATTGCAGCCTTCCAGTACTTAAAGGGGGCCTACAGGAAAGCTGGAGAGGGACTTTGGACAAGGGCATGTAGTGATAGGACAAGGGGTAATGTCTTTAAACTGAAAGAGGGGAGATTTAGATTGGATATAAGGAAGAAATTTTTCACTCTGAGGGTGGTGAGGCACTGGAACAGGTTGCCCAGAGAAGCTGTAGATGCTCCATCCCTGGAAGTGTTCAAGGCCAGGCTGGATGAGGCTTTGAGCAACCTGGTGTAGCGGAGGGTGTCCCTGCCCATGGCAGAGGGGTTGGAACGAGATGATCTTTGAGGTCCCTTCCAACCCAAACCATTCTATGATTCTATGGTAAGCTTACAAAACTGCCAGGTGTCTCTGTGTGTACCTCAGAGATAAAAAATTATATTTTTGAAAAGCAAAGATGCACTAACTTGTAGCAAAAGCAAACAACAAAGACTATAAAAGTCAAGTGAAGCTCTACGCTACGGAGAGCGTGTGTGCAGCATCATAATTCGGTTCTGGATAGGAGTTAAAAATGGAGAAACCTGCTTTCTGTCTCCCACTCTGCCACCTGCTGTGTGATCCAAGGAAATACAGTGAAGTGATTTGAGCATTGCTGTGCTCTAAACTGAGCGGTCCAGCATCTGTGGCAGGTGCTCTGACATCTACGGACCAGTCAGTGCGGGACTGGTGTTTTGGTGTTGTGGTTTGGTTGGTTGTTGTATTTGTTTTTTTTTAAAAAAAACACCTTCCACAAGCCTTACTGATGTTTTTTGTTGTGTGTTTTTTTTAAGAAACACACCTTCCATAAGCCTTATTGATGTTTTTTGTTGTTTTATTTAAAAAAAACCCAACACCTTCCATAAGCTTTACTGACAGTTTTTGCTGTTGTTGTTTTTTTTTAAAAAAAACATATTCCATAAGCCTTACTGACGGGGTTGTACAGTTTGCCAGTTTCTAAACTGTTCACTGGTCTCTTTTGTGATGTAGCCTGCTGGGAGCTCCAGGACAGGGGCAGCCATAGTGGTGAAATTGCATCCTGCAGCATGTGTACGTCTGATGCCCAGATAACCCTGGGCTCTTCTCACCCTGGCTGTGCTCGCTTATGACAAGCAAATACTGAAGAAACACTTTGCACCGTTGGCCACTCCGATGCTGTGTCTAATATTATGGGGTAGCTCTTTGTGTCCTTACCGCAGGAAAGGCTGTGACGCGCGAATGTGTCTGCCAACGACACGATTAGAACGAACGCCTGCGAGCAGTTCTGACACCTTCTTCAGAGGCTTTTTCCGTTCTCTTCCGCAGGCTGGCAGCACCAAGTTTAATCGAGCTAAACTGCTGAATGTAGGATACCTCGAGGCCCTAAAGGAAGCGACCTGGGACTGTTTCATTTTCCATGATGTGGATCTGGTGCCAGAAAACGACTTTAACATTTACATGTGTGACAGACAACCAAAGCACCTTGTGGTTGGCAGGAACAATACTGGATACAGGTAGGAAATTGGGCATATGGAAAGAATACCAACTGGGAAATGCCAGGTTACTGATAACGTCCTACTTCTGATGGAGCTGTGTGTTGTATCTACCTTCTTTCTGACACCTGATTTCTGGTGGTAACGTTCCTCCTGTCAGGAGTGCTTTCTGACCCAAGATAACTGTACAGACACCTTGGAAGCCAGCTCCATGGTCACCTGTTCGAATGATCACTGTCATCATTCTGGTTTCTGAGGTGAGGTAAAGGGAGTTTTGAGGGGGAAGACCTTCTGTGAAAGCTGGCAATACGTTTGCAGTCTCCTGGTCCTGTGATTTGACAGCAATCTTGCTATTATGCTGGTAAAACTCACCACTTAGCTTTTGCTTTTGGAGAGGTAACCTCTGATATCGAGAGCTCAAGTGTGAGAATTCACCACGGTGTAGGATTGTCCTTCTTTAATTATTTGGCTGTACAGCGTCTGACACAGGATCGTTCAGATTTTAAAGCAGGTCCCCTAAGTGACAGTGTGATAGAAATAATTTAATGTGAAAATTTAAAGTCAGGTTCAGTCCACCTCAGAGAAAAAAGGCTCCTGTGCTTGGTGAGTTTTAACGACTAGAACGGTTTCATTCAATGTATTTCTTTCACGAGTCATTTCTTGTGTCATGTCACTCTAAATATTAATTAGAAGTAGGCTTTTCAGAAGTTCATCTCAGAGCACTTTGAAGTAAAGCTCTGCTTCGCTTCTGGGTTTCCTTTGTTAAATACATGAGAAAAATGGGATGTGCAAATTCTTGCACAGGATAATAGTCACTTTCCAGTTATTCAGTGGAAATAGGAACAGGTACAAATGAACTGAGCTCATGACAAGTTTTTGGAGCACTGTGCTTTGCAGAGAAGAATGCTGAGGGCTGCAGGATGGTCGTGCACCAAAGCAGCAGAAACATGGCTTTGGTTAATCAACAGGCATGTAGAATCCAGGCTGACACCATGGCACAAAGCATGAGGTGCTTTACTCCATCTCCTGGGCCTTAGTTACTGCAGGAGTTTGGTCAGCTAAGCAGGCAGGTGGACTTTTTTTTGACTTTTTTTACTAGGGGGTCGTCTCACTATTAATTTCTTCAGGTTTCTCCTGTTTGTGGAAAGGAGCTGTTAGTTATGGGTTAGCTTTAAGCTTTGGCTTCAAAGAGTCTTGCACTGACAAAACGTTTTTGTTGTGAAAACTCTGTACCAGTAGTCACTGGCATACTGGTGGAGTCATACTCTCATTTCTGTGAAACAAGAAATGAAATGAAACAAGCCTCTGTTTGCACACCTGTGAAGCGGGTATAATAATGCTCTACTTCCAAGGGAATTAATTCCTGGGTACATCTGAAGGAGTTCAGATCCTGAGCTCAAGAACGAAACCTAAACTGAGCTGAGACCACAGGTTAAAATCCCAGTTGGGTGACCTTAGTGTTTTGCTTAGGCTGAGGTGAACATATGGAGACACGTTGCTCAGATGGGATGGAGAAAACTGAAGCCTTACATGGTCTGCATTAACACAAAATATCCTGTCGGGAATGTGGGTTTTTTGTGGGTTTCTTGTTTTGTGTGGATTTTTTTGTTTTGTTTTTCTTCCAGGGGGATATCCTCTGTGCTAATCTTAGCAGCTCTGCACCTCTGGAGAGCAAGTACCCTGCGTTTAGTTATATAAACTGCAACTTGGGGTTAGATTCTTTAGGAAAAGATTTATATATTCGAACTCAGAAGAAAAGAGTAGGAAGAACTTTGCTGGCATCCCCCCAGGCCGCTGGAACAGGGGGATGTGGGACTGTTGGTGACTGGCAGTGCCACCTGCAAGCATGGCTGGGGAGGGCTCTTCCCTGCTGCTGCTTTTTAGGGGACCTCCTTGCTGTCCGTTTCACCCAGTCACTGCGTTTCTCTACAGCAGAAGTCTCAAAGTTGTGATGCATAATTCAAACTTGATAGGGCTTCTGCTGCCTTGTGGTTGGTCACCTCTGGGAGAGGAGATAAAGTGGAAGAGTAGAAATTCCAGAGGGAGAGAAAAATGCAGGTAGAGCCCAGGAGTGACTGCATCTGCCTTGAACAATCCTTTTGTGTACATTTGCATAGGTAGCATCTCTTTGGGAAGTATGTCACAGTCCCAGCAAATGGCAGTTGGAGATTTTTTTCAGACAGCTGGAAGAAGCCTCCTGTATACAGGCCTCAGTCTTCATGGAAGACTTTAATCACCCTGATATCTGCTGGAAGGGCGACACAACAGGGAGCGAGTAATCCAGGAGATTTCTGAAATGAACTGATGGTAATTTCCTGACGCAGGTGATCAGAGCTGATGAAGGGAGGTCTTCTACTGAGCTTTATACTACAAATGAAGAGCTGGTCAGGGATGTGATGTTCAGAAACGAGGAGGGCACGAGGCGAATAGCAGGATAACAACCCTGGACTTCCTGTTCAAGGATCTGCTTGGAAGATGAGCCTGGAGGGAAGAGGAGTTGCCTCCTCTATGCTTAAGAATGGTCCGTTCATATGTGGAGGAAGCCAAGCAAAGGTGGACGGAACAAGGAGCTCTTTAGATAAACCCAGAACAGAAAGAGGAAGCATGAAAGGTAGAAGCAGAGTCAGGTGACTTGTGAGGACCCACAAGATGCTGTCTAAGCATGCGGGGCTGGGGTTAGGAAAACCAAAGCCCTTCTGGAGTTGAATCTCACAAGCATCATGAAGGGCAACGCGAAGGGCTTCTACAGGTACATCAGCTGCTGGGAAGAGTAGGGAAAATGTGTACCTGCTGTGTGGCAAGGGACCTGGTAACAAAAGACAAGAAAAAGGCCTTCTCTGCCTTGATCCTTACTGGCAAGATTTGCCTTCAGGATTCCCAGGCTTCTGATACCAGTGGAAAAGACTGGACATACAAAGACCTACCCTTGGTGGAGGAGGATCAAGTTAAGGAATACTCAAACTGGGCATAGAGCATAAAACCATGTGACCTGATGGGATGTATCCATGAGTACTAAGGGAACTGGTTGCTGTCATTGTTGAGGCCATTCTGTTATCTTTGAAAGGTTGAGATGACTGGGGGAGCTTCCTGAGGACTGGAAGAAAACAAATGTCACTTCTGCCTTCAGGACAGGCAAGAAGGAGGATTTGAGGAGCTACAGGCTGGTCAACCTCACCTTTTAATCCCTGGGAAGGTGAGGAAGCAAATCTGTTAGCACGTCATGCTTGACCAATCTGATAGTCTCCTCTGATTTCACTAGCTTGGTGGGCAAGGGAGGAGTTAGTGGGTAATCTTTACCTTGACTTAAGAAGACTTTCAGCACTGTCTCCTGTAACATCCTCATTGACAGAGTGATGAAGTACGAACTAGTAAGTGGACGGTGAGATGGACAAACTGGCAGAACTGCTGGGCTCAAAGGGTTCTGATCGTTTGCGCAAAGTCTGGCTGGAGGCCAGTCACTGGGCTGGTACTGGTTAGTATGTTCCTTAGTAACCTGGACAACAGGGCAGACTGCACCCTCTGCATGTTTTCAGAAATAGAAATCTTGGAGGGGTGGTTGACGTACCAGGGACTTTGTTGGGCTGGAGAATGTGGCCAACAGGCATCTGAAGAAGTTCAACAAAGGGAAATGAAGTCCTGCAGCTGGAGAGGAGCAAATCCATGCGTCATGAGGTGCTGGAGGCCAACTGTCTGGAAAGCAGCTTTACAGAAGAGGGCCTGGGCCAGCAACGTGCCCTCGTGACAAAGGCCAGTAGCACCTTGGCCTGCAGGAGGAGGGGTGTTGTCAGCAGGCTGAGGGAGGTGGTTGGGATTATACCTGGAGTCTGTGTCCAGTTCTGGGTTCCCTAGCACAATAAAACCACGGACATACTGTAGTGAATCCAAAGAGCCATGAAGGCGAGGAAGGGATTGCAGCATCTGACATGTCAAGAGAGGCTGAAAGTGCTGGGACTGGAGTCCCAGTTCAGCCCGGAGCAGAGAAGGCAGAGGGGATCTGTCAAGGTGTACACGTACCTGATGGGAGGGAGTAAAGAAGGTGGAGCCAGACCCTTCTCAGTGAAAGGCAAGATGCACAAACTGAAGTACATCAAATTTGTTTAAATGTCAGAAAAAGCTTTTTTACTGTGAGGGTGATCGAATACTGGAAGAGGCTGTCCAGAAAGGTTGTGGAGTCTCCATCCTTGGAGATGCTCAGAACCTGAATGGAAAGGGTGCTCAACAACTTGCCCTAGCAGACCCTGCTCTGAGCAGAGAGGTTGGACTAGCTGATCTCCAGGGACCCCTTCCAACTTCACATACATACAGAAATCAGGATGCCATCTGCAGCCTCGTGCACATCCCCTCTGAAGCTGCAGCAGCGATGTAGAAGCAATCATAGAATCATGGAATGGTTTGGGTTGGAAGGGACCTCAAAGATCATCCAGTTCCACCCCCCATGCCATGGGCAAGGACACCCTCCACTACACCAGGTTGCCCAAAGCCTCATCCAGCCTGGCCTTGAACACTTCCAGGGATGGGGCAGCCACAACTTCTCTGGGCAACCTGTTCCAGTGCCTCACCACCCTCAGAGGGAAAAATTTCTTCCTTATATCCAATCTAAATCTCCCCTCTTTCAGTTTAAAGCCATTGCCCCTTGTCCTGTCACTACACACCCTTGTAAAAAGTCCCTCTCCAACTTTCCTGTAGGCCCCCTTTAGGTACTGGAAGGCTGCAATAAGATCCCCCCGGAGCCTTCTCTTCTCCAGGCTGAACAGCCCCAAGTCTCTCAGCCTGTCTCCATAGCAGAGGTGCTCCAGCCCTTGGATCATCTTCGTGGCCCTCCTCTGGACCTGCTCCAACAGCTCCGTGTCCTTCTTGTGCTGGGGACTCCAGAGCTGAACACAGTATTCCAGGTGGGGTCTCACGAGAGCAGAGCAGAGGGGCAGAATCACCTCCCTCGACCTGCTGCCCACACTTCCTTGGATGCAGCCCAGGACACGTTGTATCCTACGTCATATTGTATTACAACAATGCGTTGTAGTGCTTTACCTTAAGGGCCAAGGAGGAGGAGGGTCTCAAAAAAAGCAGTTGGCAAACCGGTGTAAGAAGATAAATAAGCGGGGTATGGAAATACCTTTTTAAAGGAGATGCAGTTTCCAGGAGAAATTAACTTCCTTCAGAGCTGAGCTCCATTACATTCAGTTACTGAGTAACGTGCACTGTACCTCACCTTGGAACTGGTCCTGCAGTATCCCGCAGCACCAGTCCCCTTGGTGGGATCCAATTTCATTCCAAGTTTTTCAGATCGAAGATAGCTGATGACTTGCTGTCATTATTGCAAAGCTTCTGCTGTATTAGCACGTAGCTTTGTGCCTTTCCCACTCATCAGAGACACTGAGGAGAAGTGTCTTTTCGGCTGGCAAGGGGAGCGGTGTAAAGAGAGAAACTCTTGGAGGCAGCTGTGTTCTCTCGGTGGAGAGTTCTGGCCTAAAGCAAATCACTGTCTTTTTGTGAAAAGAGGAGAACAAGATCTACCTCATGGATTCGTGCACCCTGAACTCTGGAAGACAGGTCTAGATCCAGAGTTTCAGGGTGATGTTTTCATTGCTGGGAAAACTTGACCTTTAATTCTTCATTCCCTCTTTTTGTGTCCTTCTAGGTTACGGTACCAGGGGTACTTCGGAGGTGTAACGGCTCTAACAAGAGATCAGTTTTCCAAGGTGAATGGATTCTCTAACAACTACTGGGGTTGGGGTGGAGAAGATGACGACCTTCGAATCAGGTAATAAATAAATAAAAGGCCAGATGGAAATGAGTGTGAGAGGGGGAGGCATTGATTTAAAAACAAAAAATGGGTGTCACTTCACACCTAGCCTCCGAAGGTGGAACACCACCGGAGCCGCGAATTCCAAACAGTATTGCAGTGGGGATTCTGTGAACAGTTCCCTCGCTGAAGAGGTTAGGCATGCGGGAAACCTGGGCTTCGTCTCAACAGCATGGTTGGTTGGGTGTGGGGTTTGTTGTGGGGATTTTGAGTTTTGGGTTGGGATTTTTTTTTTTT